TTTTTATTTGTGTGTATGTGTGTGTTTGCTTGTGTTTGTGTCTTTATACAAGTGTATGTTGGTGTGTTTTTGCTGTATGTGTGTGTGTTTTTTTTTGGTTTTTATGTTTATGTGGGAATGTTTATAGGCATTTTTAGGTATGGCTGATTGTTGTTTGTTTGTGTGTGTGTGTGTGTGTGTGTACGTGTGTGTGTGTGTGTGTGTGTACGTGTGTGTGTGCGTGTGAATTTTATTCTAAAATGGTCAACCATATTTCGTCACATTCCATACATGCCTGCTTTTAACAAAATTAAGTAGCGACAATTAGACAAAATATGTTTAACATACTGGAAGACAAAGAACCAGAAGACTTACATAGCTTCGTTAGACTGATTGGTCGACATTGTATTGGTCCGTTTTAAATTAACGTGTTTGGTCGCGATAGCCCATGTTAAAGTATTTAAATTATTTATTTATAAACACAAACCCGTGTACACACACACGCCACACATACAAGCCGTATACACACACGTACGTACACATACAAGCCGTATATACACACATACAAGCAGTATACACACAGGCATACATACAAGCCGTATACACACAGGCATACATACATACATACACGAATTTAACAAATGTATAATATTGATATTGTTATAGTATCATGTCCATAATATAAACGAAGAATTGGTGTGGCACGATGTGATTGAACAATGGCTTGAACAAAAAATTAATAAACGAACAAACGAACAAACGAAAGAACGATTAATGAAAAGAATGTTTGCTGTCAGATCAGAATAAAAGCTTTATATAGCGCAAAAATTGTTTACCAAGTATCAAAATGTAACAACACATCAGATAGAAAAGCAGATTAAAAGCGCTGTAACCAGCCGGCCCTGAAAAAATCATCGCTACCGTCATCATCGTCATCGTCGTCATCACTATCATTATCATCATCGTCTTCTTTATCACCATCGTCATTGTAATCATCATCATCATCTTCATCATCAGCTTCATCATCATCATCGTCTTCGTCATCGTCGGCATCTTCTTCATCATCCTCACATATCATTAAATACGTCATCTACGTTATCCAATCAAATTTTAGTGATAATAATAATAATAAATCAAATTATAATTTAAGAATTAATAATAATAATAATGGGAACATCATTTTATTTTCATCATAAATAATAATAATAATAGTAATAGTAATAAGTGATGAAAAGCATTTGAACAAATTGCAACTATGCGAGGTAAGATTCTTGTCTTGTCACGTACACCATTCGCAACAACAATAACAACAATAATAATGATAACAACAACTACAATAACAACAATAACAACAACAACAATAACAACAATAATAATGATAACAACAACTACAATAACAACAATAACAACAACAACAATAACAACAACAACAATAACAACAATAATAATGATAACAACAACAACAATAACAACAACTACAATAACAACAACAACAATAATAATGATAACAACAACACCAACAACGATAATAATAATAAAAACAATAATAATGATAACATTGTGGTGTTTATCAATGTAATAATATTAATTAATTAATTAATTAATTAACATAAATGAATAAACGAATGAGTAACGACGATGAAGAAGAAGATGACGATGATTGTGATGAAGACGACGACGACGATGATGAAGATGGTGATTGTGATGATGATAATTATTATCGTCGTCATCACCATCACGATATGTATATGATGTACGTACATATGTTTTGTTATTTCACAGCACTAATCGTACCAACGAAATGTTATGTCAGTTGTACGTGTTGCATTTGTGTTCTGAAACTAATGATGTCAAGTGCTCGGTTTGACCTTTTCTCTTTCACGAGAGTGAGTGAGTGAGTGAGTGAGTGAGTGAGTGAGTGAGTGAGTGAGTGAGTGAGTGAGCGAGTGAGTGAGTGAGTGAATAAACCAATAAATGGCAGATTTGATTGATCGTTTAGTTGATCGATTGATTTGTTTGTTATTTTGTACTGGTAATCTGCTAAGACGAGATCAACTCGTATGTAGGTCTCTAGCATCTTTAATACGCTATTGTAGTTTTGTTGAACGAGTGATTCTTTATCTCAGACACACCACTCCATCCAACATTACATTAGCTATCACTACGAGCCATCATCATCCATCATAATTGCATCATCATTTCATCATCATCACCATCGCTATATCATAGAAATATTAAATAACCTACTGCCAAATTGAACAACGTTGAATAATGTCACGTTTAATTAATTGGTTGACGAAGAAAATAGCTGGAGAATAACAATGGCACATCTGTTTAACTAAAAGCACAACGGACCAAAGAACATGAAAATCGGGAGAGAGAGAGAAAGAGATGAGAGAGAGAGAGAGAGATGAGAGAAAGAGAGAGATAAGAAAGAGAGATGATGAGAAAAAGTGAGAAAGATAGAGAGATAGTTAAGAAAGCGGGTAGATGTGACCAATCACATCATTATATCACTATCACCATCATGATATTATTAGAAAAAAATTTAAATTAAACCCCAAAGCAACTCTCATACAACATTTGTTTTAAGTTAACACAAAATGTTCATCAAACTTCTTCCATTAGAGACAGATCAAATGATTGACAACAGATCACATCTGAATGAATGAATGAATGAATGAATGAATGAATGAATGAATGAACGAAAGGAGGAATTACTCATTCATTTAATTTTTCCTCAATATATTGGTGCAACACCTCCTCTCCCTCTCCCTCTTCTCTCTCTCTCTTTCTCTGAATGTATATGTTTATGTGTTTGTTTGTTTGCGTGTGTGTACGTGTGTATGTATGCGCCATTTCATTGATTCATTGATCTACAAATTTTAATTTCTTGACGTTTAAAAACATCCAAACTTATGAAGCGAATTTTTGTTTTAACTAAATCTTCAAGTGAAGAGCGAGTGTGTGTGTTTGTGTGTGTGTGTGTGTGAGTGTGTGTGTGTGTGTGTGTGTGTGTGTGTGTGTGTGTGTGTGTGTGTGTGTGTGTGTGTGTGTTAAGAATCGAACTTAAATCACGAGGGTCAAGGGTCACTTCAAATGATGTTGTCTCAAGTCAAGTATCAAATCAAGTCATTTTTAAGTCGTTTTTTTAAATAAAATAATTTGAAAATGACAAAAAATTTTTACAAATATCATTTCTTATGTTAAAAATCAGTGTATGGATAGGCTCAACGGTGATAAAAAAAATTACTTTCGATATGAATTGAATGATGAAATGTTTATTACCACAGTGTAATAAACCAAACTATATGACACATGAGCGATCACGCGCGCGTGCACACACACACACACACACACACACATGTTTAGCACAAAAGCTAACATTGTTGTGCCTATTGCTATTGTGGTTGTTAACATCAAATCAACATCACCATCCGCATATAAAATGTTGATGATATGATGTGATGACATTGAAGAAGACATGAGTATTTCTATTACGAAGCTCGTTTTTCTTATATTATATTATTACTACGTGACTACGTGACATTATAGGCCATTGTTCTAAATTCTGCAAGAGTTACTCCATTGAATTAAATATATTTGAAAATTTCTTTTGAAATAGCAGTAGATATCAGATTGAACTAGCTAATAAAGAGCAGTTTAACCATAATTTGCTAGATTTCGAAATATCATGTCCCATGTTAAACGTCCCATGGAAGAATCATAACATCGTAAAATTGTTAAAGTTGTGGAACAATGCGTAATGAGGGTTTGCTGAGTTATTGCGTACGAGATTGGTTGCTTTTATTTGAACCTGGTATATTTATTGCACGCATCAGCTTATTGCTTCGATTTAAACAAAACTGGCTTTAACTGAGTTTAGTTAGAAGATTTATTAATTCAATAACAAAAAGAAACTTAATCATTTAAATAAAAAAAATCTCTGAATTAATGAAAGCGAGTTTTGATAGCAAACAGGTTAATCGTAAACATTATTCAATAAAAGTAGCATAAGAGCAGAAATGTCAACCAAAAGAACTGGTAGCAAGACAATTGGAAGAATGTTTATTAATAAAATAATCTCTTCGTCAACTTTTTTAATTGAAGGAAAACAACAGCCAACTCAACTAATAATAAAATTGTAACGCCAAAATATGTCACGGTAAATGCATTTTATTTGAACAAACAACATAAATAAATGAAAAATTCGTCTATTTATTAATTCATATTAATATTTTATTCATATCATTTTTCAGAAACGTGCTATTGGTGTCGGAGATAGCCAAAATCATCTCACATGGTTTAATTATTATCAATAAAATCCAATATAAAGGACCCCTACTAATTATGGTATTTCATATATCATATTTCACTTTGAATGCTGATACTATGAATAGGTATAAGTGAACGTTTTTTTCTATTTTTCATTGAAAACATTATTTATCATTGCTATATTTATTAAAAATAAATGCATTTTAATTATTTGTAAATGAATTTAATGAATTTTCAAAATAAAACATGATCAGCTGATTAGCTTAAAAGGCATAGAGACACAAATTTAATCTCTCCATCTTTGTCTAAACAAAAACAAACTTTATTTTCGCTTGCTGGCATTTTTCTAAAATTTTAATAAAATAAATGTTTAAAGACGCTTATATTATAAAGACGCTTAAAAATCATATTTTGATATGTAGATTTTTCGGATTTTAGTTAATAATTGAATAAAATTAAAAATTTTAAACTTTTAATTTGTATGATTTTCATTCAATTCATTCAGTCAATCAAGGCAAGAGTAGAGATAGAGAAGAGAGAGAGATTGCCTAGCCTAGCCTAGCCTAGCCTAGGGTCAATTCAGTCTCAGCTAGAAACCGTCTAATCTAGCGACTAGCCTCTAGCCTAATATAGCTACTAATTCAATTATTATCATCAGTGACAATTTTGAGACTCCTGATAATTAGGCAAAATTATCAGACAATTTTTCTCTTTTTCTATAGTTATTTCCTCTGCAAAAAGTTGAA